CAGCGAGACTGAAGCCAATGTGTTTGACCACACACCCAGGGGGGGAATCACATTCCAGTGAAAGTTAATTGGTCTTTGACTAGGTCTATTTTTAAAGGAAGGAATTACATTTTTTCCTGTTCAAGCCCTGTAGTTCGGCAAGATCTGTAGTTCGGCAGGAGCTCGTGCAACTCTCGTGTCAGCGGAAAGGAGCAGCACAGAGACAAGCCCCCCGCCAAAGTGAGGGCTTTGTGCAGCTGTTCCGTGTTTTTCCTGCTGGAGGCTCCTTCACAGCCTGCAGGAGAGATGGGTGCGGGGTGATTCCCACCATCAAGTCCCAGGGGTTTCTTGATTTTGTGTGGCAGGCCGAGAGCATGAGTCAGGCCTGTCTCCAGCCATAAGAACATACGAATGGTTACAAATGAGAGAAGGCAGCTCAGCCATCTAGCCTGATTTGTAGTTAATAGCTAATTGATGTATGGATCTCATCCCACTGTTTCTTGAAGGAAACCAGGGTATCGGAATCAGCGATTTTAAATGCACTGCCGTGGAGTTTCCACTTGTGTCTTCTGTTTGGGGTTTCATTGTTGATTCTAAAGAAGCTCACTGGGTTGACAGTCAGTGACTCTGAGGACCTCAGAAGCTTTTATTAAGCCCCCTTGTTATCTTCACTGCTCAAGACTAAAATAATCTTCCAGGACATTCCCTTAAGCCCTGGAATGTAACTAGTTGCTCATCTCTGGACTGATTCCAAAGCAGCAAAATTTATTTTCTAGAATGTGGTTACCACAATCGTACATGATATTCTATATGAGGCCTTACTAGTGTATTATACTGTTTGAGCATAACATCCCTTGATTTAAATTCTATGCTTTTAACTATGCATCCTTAAGTTTTGTGTCCCTTTTTAATTGCTTCTCTATGTTGTCTAGAAGATGTTAATGATGTGTCAACATTAACACCTAAGTTGTTTTCATAAGTAGCGTTTCAGCTCAGTTTTCATAGCTTGTGTTTTTGCTAACTCCATGCAAAGCTCTAAATAAACACTTGTCTATATTAAATTTCTCCTGTAAGGTGTTTGCCAAGTCTTGAATTTTATCTAAATCGTATTGAATTTAGCTAAGTCTACTTAACTTAGGTTTACTTACTGTAACAAATATCTTGATTATTGATATAAATAAGGAAGAGCTGTGGTCCTAGTACACAACCCTGAGGTATTCCACTAAATACATCACCCAGCTTGAGCATTTTCCCCTTATCTGTGTTCTGTGTTTAATGTCTTCATCCATCCGTTCATTTTCCTAACCACTTCTTCCAATTCAGGGTCATGGGCAAGCAATGGGCACAAAACAGGATACACACTAGACAGGACACACTCACATCAGGGTGAGTTTTACAGAAACCAATTTAATGTCTTCATTTCTTAGCAAATGCTCAATCCAAACGCGAATGCATTTTCCTGAATGCTTACCATCTTTAATTTGTGAACCAGTCTTTAATGAGAAACTTTATCAAAAGCCTTTTGAAAATCCAAATACACCTTATCATATGCCCTCTGTGTGTCTGGTACTGTGTGTTCACCCATCTCTGGCTGTTAGTGCATTTTTCTTTGGGAAATTGAAAAACAGCCTCAGGTTATTTTTCAAATCCAGTCTGTTAGTATTGCACCCAGGATCAGGTGTTGTTTCATTCGCCTGTCGCAATCTGTAAGGAAAGTACTTGAACTCCCAAACATCATCGATGGATTGTCGAGATGGGAAACAGCTGTGCATTTCCACCCCTAATTTAAGCACCAGCATTTGTTCATTTTGACATTTTTCACATTCAAAGTGCCAATTGCGCAATTAAATCAATAAACAGCATATGAGAAGCGTGAATTTGGACTTCAGAGGATTGGTAAACTGCATATTTCATCCCTGTTGCTCGTATCTGATTTCCAGCAAAGAAGTGAGACTTACGTACATCTTATTTCAATCAGATGTGGCTTGTGAATTAAAACATGTGGGAGTATGTGTGTTTTGGGCTGTTTTACATGTTGCTATGTCAGCTGGTAGATAAAACCAATTGGTGCCTTTCTGGATTTCACAGACTGTGAGTGTATTTCTCTCATTCAAGGGAGAAAATATTTAATGTGAGCGACTGTGTACACTGATTGCCATTTCATTTGCAGTTACATCATGTGAATGTAAATGCTCCTCTTAATAATAGATTATTGCTGTATATAGAAATTTTTATTCCAGAGTGTCCCAAAATATTTTACATATACGAGAAACCCCACTTCGTCCA